TCATCAAAACTGTTGGTATCCTTAAAATATTCCATAATTCAAAATACCTGCATTCTCTCTGCTCCAGCCAAGTTGAGACATAAAATTAACCATCACACTTGCTCGTTTCTGATAGTTAGAAATAAGTAACAGTTAAAGGTCATGGTAAGAGCAGAGGTTTGGAAGCAGCAGACCTGAGTTTGAATTCCGATTCTGCCTTTTATTTGAAAAGCAACTCWTGGAGATAATAATGGGCCGTTGAGAGGATTGACGAAGATAATAAATGCAGCACTCTTCATACAGTATCAGGCCCATAGTAGGTATCAATAAAAAAGAGTTGTGTCCCACTGTCCGATGTATACTATACCACATTTTGAATGTACCACATTATAGAAATGCCAGCTTTGGGCTGGAAAAGGCAAGAGATAGGGCAAAATCACTAATGCAATATTATCTGTTCATGTAAAATAATTAATTCAATAAATAGAAATATTTTTGAAAGGAAAAGGGATTACCATGCTAGTGAGGGAAAAAAATGCAAAATGAAACAAGATGTCCTTTCACATCAATTGAATTAGCAAAAATGGCAACATTGAATGATACCCAATGTTGCCTAAATAGGTCAGCTGGACAGTTCTGTTCATCTGGACCAGGCTCCCTCCTCTCATCTCAGTTGGCCTCACCCATGTGGGCATGGTCAGCTGCTGGGTCCTCTGTAGGATCTCTGGGTTGGGGCAGCTTCACCCACGTGTCTGAAAGATGGACGGCTGTGGCTTAGGGTGACAGGCACGCTGAGCCAGGTGTCTTTCATCATCCTACTGGCAGCCCAGACTTATTCACATGTCAGGTAGGCAGGGCTTCAAGGGAGAAAAAAGCCCTTGTGGCCTAGGCTCTTTGCTTCTGCCACAGTCTTTTATCCAAAACAAGCCACAGGCCACTCCATTTTCAATGTCAGGAAAAATACATTTCACCTCTTTATGGGAGGAGGAAGAAAAWCACACTGTCAAGGGCACAGACCCAGGAGGGTGGCGGATCAAGGCCACTCTGGCAGGGAAACACACCCASGACCCTGGTCATTTGCTTCCCATTAACCTTCATTAGGAAGCTGATCAAGCCACAGTYATTTTCCTTTACCTCCTACAGCCACTTCCCCTTCTCACAGGCTTAAGTTTACTTCTAGAGGCAAGGAGCTACTGAAAGTTCTTAAGACAATCTAGTGACCAGAGCCAGGCATGGTGGCACACACTTGTAATGCCYGCAATTCAGGAAGCTGAGGCAGGAGGATTGCAAGCTGGAGGTCAATCTGGGCAACTTAGCATAGACCTKGCCTCAAAATAAAAAATTGAAGAAAGATTATGGATGTAACTCAGTGGCTGGTAGAATGCTTGCCTAGCATGTGTGAGGCCCTAGGTTCAAAAAAAATAAATAAATATAAAGCAAACAAATGAAAGCAGGTTTGGAAGAAGCTTTTCCTGACATTTAGGGGAGCAAGCACCTTTGCCTGAGACAATCAGGAAGACAAGACAGAAGGAAGATGTTGGTGAACACTCAAAGGCCCGGGTGTTGTGAGCAATTATATGAGCCTCTGTTTATTGTTTGTTATTAATTAGTGTTACTTAAAAATAGCAATGAGTTGTGTCTTCCTGTATGTTCTTCTGCAGAGTCCGTGACACACATCTTCCCACTTAAAGGGCAGAATTGGGGATACTCAAGTATTATGCAGTCACTTTAATTTGTCCAAGCCAGTTCACAGCATAAGTCCTGCAGTCTTGAGGGAGCTAGCAGAGGGCAGGGAAAGGTTGTCTGTCTAAGAAAGAGCTGTGGGGGTGGTCTAGTGATGAGCATTGGTCTCATACCTGACCCAGACCCTGTTCCATTGTCTGCTTGGGCAAGCACTTCGCCCCTCCAAGACCCAGGTTTGACCTCTCTGGAATGGAGCAGCACTATTCACAGCCCTGTGAGACCCGAAGGACTTGAGGCAGAGTGCTAAGCACAGCGCCTGGGAAGGACAGACTGCCCAGTGAGGGTGCTCTGCTTCTCTGGCTCTGGCCTCAGTCGCCACCCACATACTCCACAGGACTCCACACACTAGGGGGCTGCCATTGTAGGTCTGCTCCTCAATGATGCTAGCAAAGATGTTGACCATTCCTCTGTGCACATTTCAGGTCCAGGAAAGGAGATCTTGTAAAGGTTGATTTTTTTTTTCAAGTTTTTTATGGATTTTTTAAAAAAATAAGTGACAGTGGAATGCATTACAATTCTTATTACACGTACACAGCACAATTTTTCATATCTCTGGTTGAATATAAAGTATGTTGACACCAATTTCTATACATATACTTTYGATAATAATGTAAAGGTTGATTATTAAATAATAAGCAAATTAAGTCTCTGTTGTATTAGACATAGGACTGATTTTTAAACTTCTGTTTAAGTATTTATTCAGCATGAGCCAAATAGCTAGCAAGCTGGTCACATTTAATCAGTATCCATTAAAGTGTGTGTGTGTGTGTGTATGTGTGTGTGTGTGTGTGTGTGTGTGTGTGTATGGAGAGGGAGAGAGAGAGAGAGAGAAAGAGACAGAGAGAGAGATGCATGCTGTGGAAGCTTAAAAAGTTGATTTCATAGAAATTGAGAGTAGAATTGAGGTTGCTAGAAGCTGGGAAGGGTAGGGAGGAAGCAAGGACAGAGGGAGGTTTGATGACAAGCACCAAAATGCAGTTACTAGGAAGCCTAAGTTCTAATGTTCTGCAGCACAGAGTGGGACTAGAGCTCACAACAATTTATGGTATATTTATAAAGACCTGGAAGAGAGGAGGTCAAAGTTTTCCAGGAAAAGAATAATAAATGTTTAAGAAGCAGGAAATGCTGACTCAATCATTACATGATGTATACCATGGTATATTGTATGAAATTATCACCCAGTATCCCCTCTGTATGTACAATTATAATGCCAATTAAAAAGTAAATAAAATAAATAGTAAACATCAAAACTATATGTGTGCAGGTATACAAAGTATATACATATACGYACTATGATATGTATTTGTCATAAGTATATGTTTAAATATATAATATATGGATGAATATATAATGTATATTACATAGAAATACATAAGCATAAATTTACAACCAGATATAAGCCCAAATATGTACTTAAATATGTTCATTTAAAGGGCATATTAATTAAAATAAAGTGTACATATATTTCATTTTATCAGATGCGTATGTCTGAGCTTCCATGCTGATTTTTTATCATTTTCTCCAGCTTTTGGAATAAATGGCARCTATGAAAGACACATCTATAACAGACTGTCCCACCAAGTTACACCAAGTGCCTTCCCCGGAATCTCAGATGGGTTTTACAGAAACCTGAAAGTCAACTAGATGAGAATTTTCCCAGCACCTGATTTTTCACAAGTGACTACAGGGTCTCTGTGTACACAAATATACAGATTTCATTCTTGTTCCCAAGGGAATTTTGAGTCCACCAAATAAGTAACCTTTGTGGAGGAAGAACTGGTTGCTCCTATAGAGAAAGAAAATGTGTTTGTGTGTGTATGTGTTTGGGCGTGTGCATGCATGCACGCATGTCTGCAGATTTCACATATTATATGTACTCACAAAATATACATAATGAATGTGTAAATGTTTATAATATATATATATATATATATATATATATATATATATATATACACATAATAGGTAACAAAGGAGGCTAAGACCCAATGAAGCTGTAATCATTAGCCCCTTTGGACAGGCAGCCTTACATCCCTGTGGACTGAAACACCCCTGGAAATAAGCACGGGCCCACCACCCTAGTGCTTCAAAAAACTCAGAGCCGTTCCAACGAGCACACACCTGT